TCTGTTAAGCCATTGGCCAAAAGCAGCTTCTTTATTAACCAATAAAAGCAATGCATATACAGAAGGACTTCCCACACCACCAGTAGACATCATATAAATAAAGAGAAATCATACCAAGAAAGAAATCAGGGAAATATTTTTTTCACAAATGCCTCAAAAAATAAGCAAAATATTTTGTAATAAATCTAACAAAGGATTTGAAAGACTTGTGCAATGAAACTTTAAGCCATAGAAATAGAACACTGAATAAGATACCAGAAGATAGAAAGACCCCCTCCCCATTATATATGGACTGACAGCATTAATACTGTGAAAACAGTCATCTTACCAAAAGCAGTATACAGATTCAATGAAACTGCCATCAGAATTCCAATACAATTCTTCACAGTAATTGAAAAACAATCTTAAATTTCATATGGAATCACAAATGACCTAGGTTACACAGTCCAGATTCACAAACACAATCGAAGACAATGAAAGGACAGCTAAAAGTATTACTAGCCCAGATTCCAAGTTGTGTTAGAGAGCTATAATAATTAAACAGCATAATAATGACAATAAAAGAGACATTTTTCAATGGAGTAGAACTGAGGAGCTCCAGATAAGCCCACACTCTGGCATCCATCTGACTTTTGAAAAAGTGCTAATTGGTAAACATTGGAGAAAAGATAGCATCTTCAGCAGGTGGTGCTGGTCAAACTGGATAGTTACATGTAGAATGAAATGAGATCCTTATTTCTCACCCTGTATAAAACTCAACTCCAAATGGATCTAGGACCTGAACAGAAGACCAGAAGACCAGATAACCTGAATCTGACAGAAGTGAATGTGGCAAATAGCCTCGAACCCCTTGGCACAAGAAAGAACATTCTGAACAGGACACCGATGGCACAGGCACTAAGACCAAAAATTCACGAAGCTGAAAAGTTTCTTTACAGCAAATAATACCATCATTCAGGTAAAGTTTCAGCCTACAGAATTGGAAAATATCTTTACCAGGTATTTATCCCATGGAAGACTATATATATATATATTCATTCTGATCTGTTCATCAATCGAAACAGTCTAGTTAAAAATAAGGTACAGAACTAGGCTGTTCTCAAACAATGAAACCCAAATGGCTGAGAAACACTTAAAAATGTTCAACATCCTTAGCCATCAGGAAAATTAAAATTACCTGAGACTTTTTCTTACCCTAATCAGAATGACAAAAATTAAGAAAACAAATGACAACACATGCTGGTAAGGATGTAGAGAAGGGGAAACATTTATTTATTGTTGGTTGGAGTGTAAACTGGTACAGCTACTATGGAAATCAGTATAGAGATTCTTCAAAAACTATACAGAGAGCCTCCACATGATCCAGTTACACCACTCTTGGGCATATCCCTAAAGGATTCTATGTCCTACCATAGAGATACCTGCACATCCATTTTCATAGCTAGAAAATAGAGACATATTAGATGTCCATCAACTGATGAATGGATAATGAAAAACAGTACATTCATATCATGTAATATTCAAACTGTTTAGAAAAAAAAATGAAATTTTCATGTAAACAGAGTGATAAATAATCCTTCTGAGTTAGGTAACCCAGGCCCAGAAAGACAATGTTTTCTGCCATTTGTGAATGTTAGCTTTGACTCTTTGGACATGTATGTTTCATTTGGAATACCCATAGAAGTGAGGAACTCAGCACGGTACCTTGGGATTGAGCAGGTTTCAAGAGAGGGGAAATAGAATACAGTAATATTAAAGGGGAATACTGATACAAGAAGTGTTAAATAGGAAAGAAAAGGACATGGCAGCACAGAGGATGGAGTAGAAACACAAACTAACACTAGAGACATTTTGAAAAAGTCATATGGGAAACCTATCTAAAATATATTCATGCACCATCAATAAAGAATTTAAATGGAGTTAACCCATAGCAGCAAAGCATGTCCACAGGTCAACAAATAAGTTCAATGACAGGAATGGGTTGTCTATTTTGGAGATGTTGATAAGTAAAGTCCCACTGATCCCTAAATACTGAAGGCTCTTGCCAATGCTTTTTGTTACTCTCCAGAACTAGATAACAAAGCTCTGTTGCTGAATTCACCATACACTTGAGTCATAGATCATGGAGAAATCAAGCTGATATGCCTGGAAATTTCCCACCTACTGGTTAGCTGTCATAATGTTAGATGGTGATAAGAATGTCAGAGGAAGAGAAAAGGAACCAACCTCATCTAGCTGTGAACCCTAAGAACTACACCAATGGTCACCCTGGCAAGACATACCACTTGCACATTAGTGTTGTGGGAGTAATCAACCATTTTGTGATTGGATTAGATTTAAGGCCTGCCCCACAAGTTGAAAGCTGTACCTAGAACTATTACTGGGGCCAGGATCCTGTAGATAGACAAGTTATAAGCCCTAAGGGAGAACCTATTACTATCTTTCTACAAAATTATCATAATATGAAACTCACTGCTAATGATTGGTATATTTTTCTGTGAAGAGATTAGTGTATCTCTCAGCCTTCATCAGAGAAACTTCTTTCTGCAGTAGATAGTGACTAACACAGTAACTCACAACTGCACAACTGACCAAAGTATAAAGAAAAAGAGACTGGATATTCCTCAGCCCGAAACAGAACATTGATATTGAAGGCTCAGAATTAATTATAGAAAGGGAGCAGAAATATTCTAAGAGGCAGAGAAGGAGCCTACAAGAAAACTGTTTTCTGAACACAGCAGCGTAGCTATACAGTTGAGAGAGCATGTGATGTGAGAGTGCCCTCTGTGTGCTGTGATTACCATTAATGAATAAAGAAACTGCCTTGGCCGGTTGATAGGGCAGAACTTAAGAATTCTTAGAACTTAGGAGGGAAGACTGGATTGAATGCTGGGAGAAAGAAGGGCAGAGTCAGAGGAATGCCTTGGAGCCAGCAGACACAGATGCTGGGAATTTTACCTGGTAAGCCACTGCCATATGGTGATACACAAATTAGTAGAAATAAGTTAAATTAATATAAGAGTTAGCCAATAAGAAGCTAGAGCTAATGGATCAAACAGTGATTTAATTGATATGGTTTCCATGTGATTATTTCGGCCGGGAAGAACAAGCAGCCCTTCCCCCAACAAGCATGTATGAAACCTTTATATTCTCAAGCCAAACAAAATTCCATCTTGGAGAATAGAGTTGAATACAAAGTTCTCCACCTAGCTAAGGAGCTATTGGCTTATTGGGGAAGGAGATGCTATTTCCTTAAAGTATGCAGCCCTTGATGGGTTGAAGATCTTCCATTGAAGGCCCACATCCAAGAATGTATGTGCAGCACAAACTGGAATTATTTTTTTTTAAGATACTAAGTTGAGTTGGTAAGGAAGTGGGGATGGATCTGGGAGTAATGGGTAGAGGGTGCATATTATCAAAATACATTTTAGAACCCTCAAAGAGCTAATAAAAATGAGGACAAAAGAAATCTTAAAAATTTCCTAGCCGGGCAGTAGTGGCACACGCCTTTAATCCCAGCACTCAGGAGGCAGAGGCAGGCGGATCTCTGTGAGTTCGAGGCCAGCCTGGTCTACAAGAGCTAGTTCCAGGACAGGAACCAAAAAGCTACAGAGAAACCCTGTCTCGAAAATCAAAAAAAAAAAAAAACTTTCCTTTTGTGTTAACAGAACAGTATTATCACAGCTAAGAAATTTCCTAATATCATTCAAGGACAACTCTGTGTCCAAACTTCTTAAGTTTTCCCCAAAGTTTCCGTTTGTTTCATTTTTGCAAAGTTTCTTGTGACAGAATTTTTGCTAGGTAACACAGGTTAGCCTAGAACTAAGTAGTAGCCCAGGTTGGCTTCACCCTTCTTGGCAATCCTCTTCTGCTTCCCAACTGCTGTGATGATAACCGTGAGCCACCATACATCAAGCTTGTTGTGCTTTTTGAGAGAGGGTCTTGTTTCATAGCTGGAAACATCCTGACAGCCTCTGAAGTACTGGTGCTATGTGTTCGTCCTCATAGCTGAATTTTGAATGTTTCTTCAAACTGTTCTTATATCAAGGATCAGTAGAAGTTTGCATTTGGTTTTAACCTATATAACTCTGTCCACTTCTTCACAATATTGGCTTCGTAAAAGAACAAGTCCTGAATGCCTTATGGAAAGTTCTTTCATATTCGTTTACAACTTTGACATTTATGTGTCCAGTGCTTTTGACATGTTCATCTCAGAATGAGCACATGAAAATATCATCAGAGTAAATAAGAAGTTAGTTTCAGGGTAGTAATCTCAGTTGTAGGACTCTGTCATGAGATGTAACACCCTCCAAACAATAAAGCTAGGATATACACATTTATATGTTACTATTTAAATAACCACAATACTTACAACTACTAAAAAAGTTATATGCCTAAGCAATAGAAGATAAAGAAACAAACTATCAAGGAGTGTTACACTGTCATTAATATAATATATATTATATATTATATATAATATATATATTATGATTGTAGACAGATATAGTATAGAGAATAGTAGAATGAAAAACTGTTCAAATCATATCATCCCATTTCTTAAGTATACATTATAATTACAGAAAATATTAAAAGGCCTATAAAATGTTCGTGACAGTATGCATATGAATGATGATTGCTTTTTAATTTTTTATACTTATGCTTTCCAAAAGTTCATGATGTGTACACTTTGTAACAAGAATATATTTAAGTATATTTTTACTTTGTTCCTGAGACTACAACTCTGACTTTGCCCACGTGGGACATAAATTCTATCTCTAAGCTATACATGTGCCTGAAAATACAAGACTGTATTGTCAGGAATCATTTCTAAAAATACCTTTTAAGAAGTTTTTTATTATTAATGGGGTGGTCTCTGCTTCACTGCTCCATCATTCATGCGTTCATATGACCACAGACTTTGCTCTTTCTCCTAATTCTTTGTTTATTTTTATATCTGGAGCCACATGCAGCCTACATTATCAGAAACCCTTCTAGCTCACCATCATTGTACACGGTCCCCTCATAGTCTTTCTCATAAAAGACACCGTGGGGCTGCATGCTGAATGGCTTGGATGCACGGTTGTAGAAGACTACCTGGATGGTATCACCTACTTCAGCCCTTATCACTGGTCCTGGAAAAATAAGAAAATAGAGACCATGAGAATGAAAACAAAGATGAAGGGTGGAAACAAAAGGGTAGGGCGAAAAAAACAATGTAATGGAATAAACACAAGATAGAGAATGTTTCCCTTTTAAAATAATCTATTTTAAGCATCATGTTATTTATAATAATAAAAGCACTATTAAATCTATTATCTCTGGTGATTCTCACATATTACTCTAAGGTATAATAGGAGGGCTTATTACCTCCATTTTACAGATGAAATCATTGCAGGGAAGAAGCGTTAGCCTATAAAAATTCAAATAGCAATTACAGAGCCAGAACTTAAGGTCATGGCTTTGTTCTACACTACAGTCAGATCCAATTTGATTAGTCCTGAATTTATTCTCTGTTCTCCCATATTTCCTAGGAGATTCCATCTAAGGTCTGAGCTCACCAATATCTTAACCAAATTCTAAGCAAAGAGAATACAGACCTAAAAGTAGGTAGTCTAGGCCAAACTTCTGGACTTCTGTGTGCTTTGATATTCATTATCACTTCCAACCTGCCTGGGATCACTTTCAAGAATATCAAACAATAGCCTGACTGTTTAAACTGACTCTATTCCAAGGTTAAACCTTCTAGCTTGGTTTTCTAGCTCAATTTCCACACAGTTTTCATAACTGAACAGCTGGGTATATATACAGAAAACTGGCCAACAAAACTCCTTCACACACACCAATACCTCTCTTCTCTAGGGACATTTTCTCCTTACAGTTCCCAGTTCAACAAATGTAGTGCCCATTTTTCCTTTTCAATCCAGAATCAACTGCACACAAATGTCCCTGGAATATTATATTATTTCCAATTTTTTTCCCACCCAATCTCTTTGATTTCTTGGTTCCATGAAGTGATTAAATCACATCTGACCTTCATATACTGTATTCATTCTGTGCGTTGGACCGTCTAGATAGAGTCTCAACAATCAAACAGCAAGTCTAGTTCTTTATTGATAATAATAACGAATATGTCTCTATGTAGTGATAGTATTCTTCTGGCTCTAGACTCTCAGGATTCTGGATAGTCCTACTACCTTTATATAGTTTCTCAAGAATACCTCTTTTTTTTTGGCTTTTCGAGACAGGGTTTCTCTGTGGCTTTGGAGCCTGTCCTGGAACTAGCTCTGTAGACCAGGCTGGTCTCGAACTCACAGAGATCCGCCTGCCTCTGCCTTCCGAGTGCTGGGATTAAAGGCGTGCACCACCACCGCCCGGCTAAGAATACCTCTCCAGAGGCCGTTCACAGAGTATAATCTGTACCACAGTGGTAATAGAGGATGTTACCAAAATATTTTATTGCTGAAAGTTTGAGAAATGATATATAATTTTCATTTCCATCTTGAACATCTGTCATAAACAAAAATAATGTAATGTTGCAGAAGTCTCACGGAAAAAAAATTCTATTTGACTATGATTAAAACATATTGTTTTTTTAAATGTACTCAAATATGGGACACATTTTACAAACATTTATTTCTTGGGACTCAACTTGGGGGATATTTTCCCACAGTCTTCACTTGCGTCATCACCAGGGTCATGCTATAAGTTCTCCTCACTTCTTCTTGCCTCAGTTCATGAAGTCTTAGAGTTAGAGATTCCTCACCCAATATTCCAAGATGTGTTTCTTCCTCTTGATGTACCCTTTCCTGGAATGTCTCATCTTGGAAGGCTTCATATCGAACTTTCCAGTAAGTACCTCCGATTCGGCTAGAGCTCTTCTGGAAGTACTTATCTGGGCCACTGACATGTAAGAGGAGAAATGTTATATTATGAACTCAGTGAGTATCAAATAGACTCCCACCTCATCTTCCAGCACACAAACTTGTAGATCCTCTTGAACCACCTAGATAAATTCTGAGCAGTAAAGGCACCTTCTCTGGTGACAGCACTATTAAGTGGTATACAGCTTCTGCTTGAATGTTTCCAAAGACAAAGACCTTATTTTCAGAGAAATTACTATAGTATATAATAATCGGACTTGTTATTTATAAGAAAGGTGAACTGTGACTGCTTCTAAGTTCCATATCCTGATACTCGTTCAGTTCTCCAGAGTTACACAGACTGCATCTGTTCTTTTACTTTGCTTCATCTTTTTTTTATGTTCACTTTTTCCCCTTTGGAGTCCACTGATTATCAAGAAAAGCTAAGAAATGCAACAACAGAGAAAGTCAATGTCCAAAGTCTAAGAGCCCAGGGCTGCTGAGAGCATAGGACATTTTACTGCCAGCTTTACACGGGCTGCAGAAATTATGATCTTCACAGGGCATAGCTGCTGGCCTGTTGGGAACCCAGCCGAAAGGTGAGAGTGGAGCAAAGAGGTGGAGCTAACTGCTGCAGCGCTGCATGATGACCATATCACACAGGTTGGCTTCCTTCAGAGTCACTTTTGTCAGAGAGGGTAGTCATGAGAACAAAGCTGAAGGCAGCATGGCTGACCAAGAATCTACAAAGAAGACTTGGGTATTACTGTTCATATGTTGTTAAACTTCCGCCACCACCTCCCACAATCAGCTAGCCAAACTTGGATATTCGTGGTCAACTCTGACTCCCTGACTAGTTTAGAAGAGTTCACTACGCCCTGTTTTTTTTTTTTCTGTTTGCATCACTGGAAGGCTGATATTCAGTACTGAGGCATATGAGAGGATATTCTGCTCCCCAGTTTCTGAGGATTCAGTAGAGTTTCTGAGGATTATCTTGGACTTCCCAAAGTCCTGTACCAATAGTCTTCTACATCCAATTTTACTTGGCACCTCCTCTCCAGACAGTATCCAGAAAGTGGGCACTGGATGGTTCCTGATAACTTTTATTCCTTTGGTAACTTCTGAGGTCACTATTTTTACATGATAAGTGGATTTTGTTTCAGAGCCGCAGCAGAAGATCTAGGCTGGAACGCTGGTACCTTTCTCCTCAACACAGGTGGACTCTCTGGTGCTGCCCCAGGGGAATAGCCACGCACAGCAATAATGGCCATTTACTGCTCTCTTTAGGGAGCATGACCAGTTGCTCCACAGTTCCATGTCTGTATTTCTTGACATTTTTAAAGAGATCATCCACTAGCTCATTGGATCTTTTCTTCCTAGGAGGTCCAAAAGCTTGTTATCTGCTTCTGCCTGAACATCTAGCAAAGAACCCCTGTGGTCCTTATCTTGTCATGAATGAAGTCTCTGAAAATGTCACCCTATTATCACCTATTATCACCGGAACTTGTGCCTCTGGATGCCTAACCTTGGTTTGCCAGAAATATAGTCAAAATGTCCTTAGATTCTAAATGCTTAAAAAAAAAAAACCTCACTAACATAATCTCCAAGTCCTAGGCAGGCAGAGAGGGGGAAGGAGCAGCAGAATCTAGCCTTCTCAGCACGAGAGACTCTCAAGAACTTCCCTATGCCCCCATGGATCCTGCCCTCATAAAGCCATCTTTACCCCACATATACTCCAAATTTCTCTAGACAAATGAAGGGACTGTCTCTTTATGGGATACATATTATTAGGAAATTGCCACATCTTCTTTAAGCTCATTGAAAAACTTGGCTCCGGAGGTGGGGTTTGCCCCTCCCGTTTCTGACCCAAGCAGGTTTTTCTTAAAAGTATCTTCCAAGACCACTTATCCAGGGACAAGTTGGTCTCCCAGCTTGTGAGAAAGTTCAATGAGAACAGCAAAACATGACAGGATTGAAAATACCATGCCCTTGAGAACAGAAGGAGAGCAAATTGTTAGAGTCAAAACGTCATGTCCTTGAATGTAGCTAGGAGACAAATTATTCCCAAGTACCTTCCTAAAGCAAAAGATTCAGCTACTGCTTATCCTATGATATTAAAATATAACATGATATAAAAACTGGGAGCAACTAATTCAAGGTCTCACTAAAGAGACCTTGACCTGGGAACCTATTTACTGGTCAGAGGCTCCATCTGACTGTTTTGGTTGCTAGGGTTTACCCAGTCAGTTTCTGTTGGATGGTATATATGTCTGATCTGATGCTCCACCATCTTTCTTCTGCTTATGGTTTGTTACACTTTTCTTCTTAGTTGTTGTGTGCTGAACAAGAGCCATTCATTCAAAACCAAATGCACAACTACCACGGACCATTCTCCAAATAGAGCACTCTTACTAGGCACTAGGCACATGTGAAACAATCTGGAAATCTGGTTGCTTGTTTGTTTGTTTGTTTTAAAAAAAAGCAACTGCTACTTAAAGAAAGGAACGCTATCAAACTCTGTAGACAAAATCAGTATTTCTCTAATAGCCAAACCAGATAAAAGCACGAACACACACACACATATATATAGTATATAGTAATCTCATTGATAAGCATAGATGCCATATTTCTTAATACATACAAATGAAATTCATGAATATACCAAATATGTCATTACCATGATCAACTTGACTTTATTCCAAGGATACAGTGATGCTTCAATATATGCAAATTAACACATAAAAATCCCTAGTTTACCTATACACCAACAGTAAATATGCCAAAAAAGAAATCAGGAAAGCAATCCTATCCAAAATTGCCTCCAAAATTACTTTGAAATAAATGTAACCAAGAAAGAAAAACAACTTCTACAATGGAAACTTTTAAACACTCACTGAAGAAATTGAACAGGACTTTAGAAGATGGAAAGAAATCACATGTTCATGAACAGGAGGAATGAGTACTAGGAAAATGGTTTTGCTACCAAGGACAACTTAAAGATTCAATGGAGTGGACATCAAAATTTTGTCACCTGCACAGATACAGAAAAAAAAATCTTAAAATTTCTTTGAAAGTATGAATGATCCTAGATCCATCAAAGCAATGCTCAACACATACACACTCACACAATAATATTAGAGGTATTCACCATAACTGATTGCAAGTTACAATACAAGCCTATAGTAATAACAATAATTTCAAAACATGAATTTGAAAGCACAGGGACAGGTATGAGGGAGGATTTACAGGGAGGAAAAGGAAGGGAAATGAGGTGATTATATTATAATTTCAAAAGGTAAAAACAAATTGAAAATAACCATCCAGCCATAAAAATAAACTGCAACAAATACTGGCGTGTAGATAAATGGAGCAGTCAAAGACGCTCATAGAAGCCCACCCACTCAGTTATAGCACCCTGAATTTTAACAAAGTTGTCACAACTACATGCTGTAGAAAAGACAAACTTTTCAACAAATAGTGCTAGCAAAATTGGAGGTTCACATGTAGAGGTTTGAAATTAGATTTCTATTTCTCACCCTGCACAAAAATCAACTCCAAACGGATCAAAGATCTTAATGGAAGACCTGAATTGCTGAACTGCTAGAGGGTAAAGAAAGGAAAATAATAAAGCTGGGTAGCCACAGATAATGGCTTTCTGAGGACCAGAGTAATTCAGAAAATAAGGCTGACACTGAAAAATGAAAACACATGAAATTAAACAGAAAAATTTGGTGCAGCAATAGAAACAGATAACCAAGTGAAGATAAACCCTGCAAGATGGGAGAGAGTCTTTGCTAGCGGATGTTTGACAGAGAGTAATATCTATAATAAACTCCAAACTCCCATAAAACACTGAAATGTCAGGCAGCCCCATCAATAAATGAGGTAATACGATGAAGAGACAAGTTCTTTTTTTAAAAAAAACTCTTTTGTATGTGTTGTGTCGTATGTGCATACAAGGCTTGCATAGAAGTATGTAAGCGCATTGCCCATGTGTGTACATAAAAAGTCCAGAGGAGGAGAGTGTCTTCCTCTCTTGTTCTCTCACCTTACTGCCTTGAGATAGTATCTCGCTTGCCCCTTTACTAGGCTGGATGGCTTTTGGGATCCACCTGTCTCTACTCCCCATTGTTGGGCTTTATAAGCATGGGTAGCTATGTCCAGCTTTTCATGAAGGTGACAGGGATTCAAATCAAGTCCTCATGTTTTCAGAGCAAACCCTATTCCCAGTTGAGCCATCTACCCAAAACCTGAACAAACAGTCCTTAAAAGACGAATACAAATGACCAATATACACATATAAAAGATACTCTTGTCAATCATCTCTGAAATATAATTCAAAACTACACTGAGTTTCCATCTTACCTCTGGTAGAATATCAGTCATCAAGACAAGAAGTAACAATAAATGTTGACTCGGGTGTGGACATAAGGAAACTTTTAAACACTGTAGGTTGGAATGTAAACCAGTCAAGTCAATATGGAAATCAGTATGGAGGAAAAAAAGAAAAGGAAAGGAAAGGAAAGGAAAGGAAAGGAAAGGAAAGGAAAGGAAAGGAAGGAAGCTTTTAGATGGTGCTCCAGAAGGCCAGTGTCAGCTTTTAAGGTTTCTCTATATTCAATCCATTTCTTACCGAAAGAATGGTATCCAAGTATCTTCCCATGCCTTGCCCTAGTCATCTACCAAGTACTCTGGGAAAGAACCTGCCTTGCTGAATGACCCAATAAATTGGAAACTTAAGGTCTGGCAACTGAGTTGAGACCTAACCGTCTGCTCTAACAGTTGTAAATGTGACTCAAAGGAGAGGAAACTGGAGAAGTTCCTACAAAAGGATGGACGGGGATTCTCCACAAGCAGTCTCTTTTTGTTCTGATATTTTTCAGGGTGTTTGTTTTTAAATATCCATGCTCAATTGTTTTCTTCAGAACAGAATAACAAAGAGAGGAGCGAGGGGTCAAATGATTGATACAAATAAATAAAAGTCACATCAGTTAAGGAGGAACTGGTCCCACTGATCCCTGCTAAACATGGTCACATACTCAGCAGTAACAACCTCAAATTCTATTGAAATATTAATTGAGTATATGATGCAACCTCGCAAAAGGCTTGCTACATATTGCAAGCAAGAAAACCACAAGAAATTAAATGATAATGGCAATTCTATCTAGGCAATTGTGACCTTCCAAGTAAAGAGAGATTTCAAGAAGGCATATAACAAGTGTTTGGGCAGGAGTACATACAGGATCCCTCTGTCTCTTACCTTCCTGGCTCTCGCAAACTCTTCCCAGTTCTACCATCACGCCCTCGTGGGCCATAGTCCCATTGAATCTCATGGGCCTCAATGAAGTATTGACGAACTTTGCCTGTGAGTTGCTCCACAGGTGAGTCCAGGGAGCAAGAGTCGGCCTTATAGAGAGCTTGCATGCCATCTGAAGAAAAAACACACATCTTTTCATTTCTACTGCTAAGGTTCCCACTCAGAATGGACTTTTCCTTGTTTTGTCTCCTCCAGTCCTCTTCGAGTTTCTTAACCTCTATCTCCAAATCAGGTACTTTTCCTGATGCAAGAGCCTGGCAAAAGATCCATGGTGCAGCTACATCATAAAGACTCAAATCAGGAGACCCAAGTTTAAGCCAACTATGCATTGCTATCTATAAGGCTTTAGGCTTGCACACACTTTTATAAATGAAGAGAAAAAGAAAGTCTGCCTCGGAGTGTTTCGAGTGATGTGGACATTGGGACTTTGGATTAGAAAAGCAGTTGAACTCATTAAGTGGAACTTAAGGGGTCATCCTAATAGGAACACAGAGGGCTGTGGTACTGAGGGTGATTTGAACTGTGGGGGCCTGGCTCAAACGGTATCAGAGGAGAAGAATATTAGTATATGGTTGAGAGACTATTCCTGTGATATTCTGGCAAAACCGAAAATTGGTGAAGATGTAATTGAAAAGGGGGTTCATGTTCTAGCCCCAGAGAGCAACAGAACTTTGCAGCTTTGGACACATGGTTGTGGCTTTAGAGTCAAGGACAGAAGAAAGGGACTATGGAATCTTTCTCCATTGATGGAGGAAGGTCATTGGCTAATAAAGGAACTGCCCTGGCCCATTTTATTGGTTAGAAGATAGGTGGGAGGAGAAAACAGAACAGGATACTGGGAGGAAGAGGAAGTGAGGTCAGAGACTCCACAGCTCTGCTCTCTCGGGAGCAGACGCCTCAGCAGAGATGCCATGTCCCGCTCCCGGCATGAAGCTCCGACCCAGGATGGACTAGGCTAGAATCTTCCCGGTAAGACCGGTTCTCACAGATTATTAGAGATGGGTTGATCGGGATGTGAGAATTAGCCTGTAAGTGCTAGAGCTAAAGGGCCAAGCAGTGCTTAAAAGAATACAGTGTCTGTGTAATTATTTTGGGGCATAAGCTAGCCATGTGGGCAGCCGGGTGTGGGGGACGCAGCCCTGCCGCCCCATATTACTACACTCCATGACTAAGGAAAGTCACTGAGGTCAGGTGTGATTCAAGGATATCCTTGCATGGAGGCCTAGAGAGGCCATTGTGTGAAGCTGTGAAGATGAAGCCTGAATTGCCTTGGGAACTTTAAGATGCTGAAGATGCCAGAGTTGTGGGATACTTGCCAAGAAGAGCTGCTAACAGGGAGTGGTAAGAGCCTAAGAGAGACAAGTGTGTGGCAGTCATCAAAGGTGAAAGGAGCTGGAAATCTGAAGAACACTCGATATCGAACATGGAGATGAAGAATTTAAAGTTTGCCCAGCTAGATTTCAGTCTTGCTCTGGTCCAGTATTTCCTCACTATGCTCCCTTCCCCTGTTTTGGAATGGTAATGTATATCCTGTGCCATTATATGTTAGAAGCATGTGATCTGCTTTTTTTTCTTTTTATTTTCTGGCAATTAAAGTTAAGAGATTATCAGAAGTCTCAGAAGAGTCTGCACATTGAACTTTCTCAGGGATAAAACTGTTACAGACTACAGGAACTTTTGAAGTTGTAATAAATGCATTTTGCATTATGATATAGTTATATGCCTATGGGGGGGCAGGGAGTGGAGTGTGGTAGTCTGAATAAAAAATGGACCCCACAGTCCTGTAGGAAAGTAGCACTATTAGGAAGTGTAGCCTTGTTGGAGCAGGTGTGACTTTGTTGGAGGGAGTGTGGGGGTCACTAATATTCAATCCGGGCTTTGAGTGACTGTCACTTCCTGCTGCCTGCGGATAGAAATGTAGAACACTTAGCAACCTCTACAGCACCATGTCTGCCTGCATGCCAACATGTTTCCTACCATGATGATAATGGACTAAACCAAACCTCTGAATTTATGCCAGGCCCCAATTAAATGTTTTCTTTTGTAAAAAGTCTCTGTGGTCATGATGTTTCTTCACAGCAATAAAACCCTAACTGAGACAGGAAGATTAAACCCAAAAATTGTTTCTTAATTTACCCAGCACATTAATGGCAGAGTCAAGAAAACTGACTTCATTCCAGTTATGTACATCAAGAAGCCTGGAAGACAGATGGCTCCAAGCTAGAAGCCCCACTTCCTACTGACCATTAACTACACTACATGTATTCCAAGGGTGAGAAATACTAGACCTTACTTTTCAAGTGGCTGTTCACTTCACAGCTAATTAACCAGGTTCCAGATTTCTGGGGCACCATCTCAGCAGTCACAAAGGTGGCTGGAAAAATGTGAGCAACATCAGTGCGGTGTCCACGGACGGTCAGTAGCTGTCCGTGGAAGAAAGCTGTGTGGACATCTATTTCATTGCCCATGCCAAACAGGTGCCAGGCTACATGCTTCTGGGCACACATGTTCAATTCTGGTAAGTTCCCAAAGACAAACCCATTGATTGCTGCAAAAGAAAATTTCAGAAATTAGCAAAATACAGATAAATGGGAAAAGCCTTACCATCTGACAAAAAGAATAGATAACGTTCAAATGAAATTTTAAAGAGCACACTGCACTGAACATATGCCTTATTTCATTAAAATTTACAGTTAAAAATAATCATTAGTCTAAATCAAAAAATTGAGAAAACCAAGACATAAAGAATTGAAGATACTTTTATGTAAGAACTACAGATCTATTAGGTAAATAAAATCAATATTCTAAATCCAGTGATCTGACAAAGTTCTGTGAGATGTTTTTTTTCTAAGCCATTCTTTTTTTTTCTAGCCAGTTTCCTTCTGAAATTTCCACAGTACGCTGTTACATTACCTGACTATCATGGCCGCTGTAATCTATTTTTGTCAAACTCAAGATACATTTTAACTACCTAATCCTTCCTTTACATCTCTCCACTAAGATTTCAGCTCCTTTAAGGCTTTGAGTGTATCCCCATAACCAAAGCAGCAAATCATTTCCTTCACTAACAAAAACAAAGTCAGGCTATTTCTATTCCTAAAATCAGTTCTCTGTACATTTATTTATCTTTAATCAATATAACTAGTTCCTTTAGAGACATTAGCCAGTTATCTATTGAATTCCAGATGTGCTGACCTCTGTGATTTCCCCAAATATGGGAAACTCGATGGCATAATTTTTGGAGAACTGCATTCATGCTCTCCCCTAATTTAAAAAAAATAGATATAAGCCAAAAGTAGAATATAAGGAAGATACTTTGAAGATAGTAGCTTTTCTCCAGAAAATAGATAATTCTGCCATCTTGCATCCTTTTAAAATCAAGGCAATATTAATTACTATATCAGTGGGCAACTCATCTAGGTGACTAAGCATATCATGTATGATTTAGAATCAATAATCCTGTCTATTCTACATTATGAGAAAGATATTCTTAATGGCAAGGGTACAGCCTGCATAACTGGAGAGATCAGATATGAGATTTGAATTTGCCATTTTTGATCCATAATAATATGATCCTCGATATCTTAAAGACAAAAGAAAATCCACATACCCCTGGTCTTTCCACCTACTCTTGGTCTTGGTGAGTATTAAAAGGACAACATATATGAATGAACCCAACAAATACTAGGCCTAGCAGACACGCTACATAAGATTCTCCATTGTCACAATGCAGCTACTTCCTCCTGGCTCACCATGCATCCTATTGCTTTCTTGAAAGTCTTCATCTTCTTTGTCCACTGAGGTGGGATCAGAACAGTAAGCAGCAATGTTGTCCTCGAGGTACCAGCTAAGGTTCTCATCTATCACGCTGAAGAGGAGGAAGAAATTACGGTCCACATCCTTCCTCTGAGGTGGGGAGTTACCATCCAGGGTCCCTGGGCAAGCATAAGAAATTATCCTTCATAATACGTTACGAGGGGTTCTCATAAGAAAAAAATAAGAAAGGAGGGGAGAGGACCCTAGAGGTCTGTCAACAATAGAAAAGGTTTCTGAGCTCCTTTTCATTTCAAAGCTTGCCAGACGAACCTGTGACATAAAGGAAGAAAACACAGGTCCCAGAATAATTCCCTCCCAGCACCCTTATTGCTTAGTGCTTAAACCTAACCCAGTTCCTTCGATCCCTTGGTCTTCAGACCTGACTACTCTTTGGGAATAAGCCATTTCAAATCAAGCAGCTGCATCCTGGTGGCTGCATTTTCCATCTGATTCAACCTAAGCTCTTCTTAGTTACCTTACTCAAATGTGAGTTGGCTGCCATCATCACTAACTTGAATATTAAAAGTGAAATAGGAAATAACAGAAAAGTAGTTTGGTGAGTGTTTTTTTTTTTTTTTTTTTTTGCAGAGGGGATGGTAGGGTTTGGACAGGGTTTCTCTGTAGCTTTGGAGCCTGTCCTGGAACTAGCTCTTTTTGACTAGACTGGCCTCGAACTCAGAGATCCTCCTGCCTCTGTCTCTCAAGTGCTGGAATTAAAGGTGTGTAACACCACCACTTGGGTTAGTCAGTGTTTTTTAAAAGTAATGAAATAGACACAGCAGAGGAAAGAGAGTTTGACAGGCTAATAAATGAGAATCACTCAGGTTGCTTCTCAATATGATCTTGATTTAACTATCTCATTGCATCTTATGGCTGGTTGTTTGGGTAAGTACCTCTTTTACAGGTGATAAGGGGTCCAATGAGACCAGTTGCAATGTCTCGTGGAGCATCTACATGAGAATGGTAAATCCAAGTGAGGCATGCTGGGTCTGCATCAGTGGGTGCATGGCCTTCTGGAATAGTCCAGTTGTATACATGGTAGCCTCCAGGGGGAACAGAATCATCAGCTTTCAGAGACCCAGAAGAACCATCTGGATATAGTGAGCCTGCAAAACAAAAATGTGCATGTCTAGTACAAGGGTGAGCAAGATTGTAGCAGTTATAGAATGAAAGAGAAGGCATTAATCAGTGAGATCACTCATCAGGTATAGGAACTTATAGAGCAAGCTTGGTGGCCTGAGTTCAATCCCAAGGATCCATGTAAAGCCAGAAGGAATAAACAAACTCCACAAAGTTGTTCTCAACATGCATACTGAGGCATTCACATGCTCCCCCTGACACATATATCATATACACATACACAATGATAATAAATTTTGTTGGGAAATCCAAAATATGTGGGATACTTAGGTTAAGTCTAAGGTTCAGTACTATGGTTTTCCAAACCTCAGTACTCACATGGCAAAAGAGAGAAGCAACTATAAGTTATGCACTACTTCTGTTATTAAAAAATCTTTCTACACACTCTTCCCTACACATTCCTGAGCCCTGGGAGAAGGGACACAACATAGATATTCCAATTAGGACATTCCTCAGTTCTTAATACTCTACATATTGATCAGTAGTGGGTCTCTGTATTAATAGCCATCTACTACAAAAAGAAGCTGCTTTGATGACTCTAGAGATATTTTCTGGGTCTAAGAGGGAAGATGCATGCATAAACCCACAGTTTATGGCAGGAACTGTATGCACACGACCTGCAAAAGATTGAGCCAAGCAAACTCCAAGCACAAAGCGGGGAGTAAATCAAGAAGTTTTCCCTTATTTGCTGCTGGATGTGGCCCTTGTGAGGCTGCCCATGCACATACTGGCAGAACTAAGGGAGGGCTGAAAAAGAGTGCATAAAGTTGCGAAGAGAGAAAAGTGCTACAAGGGCAGGGAAGATACAGGAGGAGAGGGTTTGGGGGAGGGGGGTCTGAATTTGATAATTTACTTTTAAATATTAAAATTAAGTAAAACTCATTAAAAGAGTTTTGAGATATATAGAAATCACTTGGAAAGAACTATAGTCAGAAAAAGTCATGTTTAACTTAAATGATGTGAAGGCAAAGAAAAAAGCAGACCTTCCTTCCAAGCTCCCCTGGCAGTACAGTTAGTTCTAGTAACACTCAGGAGTTGGAGGGTCTCTAGTTAAAACACTAGCCTGGGGTATATAAGGAGACCCCACCTGAGAGTAAGGGAAGTCCTTCATTTCATGCACTCACTTTGAAATACAAAGAGCACACAGTCACACTTTAACGTAACGCCATGACCAGTGGGCTTATTTTCTCATTTTAGAGAATATAAAACAGTGAGTAATTTTATTTCTTTACATTAAAAAAAATCTATCTCTTCTAACAAACATTGGTTGTTTGATGCTGGGTTTCACCAGACATCCCAAAGTATTTTGGAATCCAATTTCCTCCTGCCTCTGCCTCCTAAGTGCTGAAATCCTTGGTATGTATAACCATATTACTATTTACTACCTTATGATTTACAAAGTGTATTGCTACATATATCTTAAGAACACCATAATTTATTCCTTTTATTTGTGACATTAAACTTTCAGTAATCTTTCCCCATTCTTATCTTTTCTTTGCCCCACCCCCTCTGGTAATGGCTATTTTCATGTCAACTTCTATGATAACAACTACTTTAGATTCCAAAAAATAATCAAATCCTATAGTATTGATCTTCCTGTAGCTGATGTAGTTCACTCAATGTAGTGCCCTTCCAGGTTATTCTATGTTGTAATAAAACAAAATATTTATTTCTCTCTAAGGGTGAATACCATTCAGATACATACACACACACACACACACATATATATGTATGATTTTCATATTCAAGTATAATATATAACATTCATATTTATTTTTGCAACTCTGGGGATGGGACCCAGGGCCTTGCAAATTATGCCTTATATCTTCAGTTCTATATACCATTTTCTTTGTTCATTCATCTGTATATGGACATTTGGGATAAGTATATAATCTCGCTGTTGTGCATAGTTCTACAATAATCACGGGAATATATGTCTCTTTAACATGGTGCTATCATTTTCCTTTTGGACATACACCTAGTAATGGGATTTCTGGGCAGTAACATAGTTCTAATTTTAGGAGTTGAAGATTGGTACTTGATGGCTATATTAATTTACCTTCCTATTTACAGTAAAAAAGAGTTCCTTCTCTGTGCATACTCATCCCAAACCAGAGCTACTGACTTCCCTCTTTAATTTTCTCACTAACTACAATATCTATTTTAAGCCATTGTGCTTTGACAGTTAGAAGATGCTAAAGAATAAACTGGACATACTCTTTAAAAATAACAGATCTTCTGGAAGCTTCTGGAATCAGAATAGCACTCCATTACTTTCACAGAACTTTTCTTTCAAAAGCGTACTCAAATATTTAGTAGAAATGGAATTCCAAGAGTTCCTTGCAATAAAACAGGGAGTGTGTCATCATACTCCTCATGTAGAATCTCAAGCCCAAAGAACTGCAATGTCTTGTCCACCCAGCGTATGTATCGGTACACAGCCATGTTCGCTCTAAATAAAGTTTTGCTGTGGCAAAACAGTAAGTAAGAAAAAAAACTATATTGGACTGGGCATGATAGCATCGAAGCACTCAGGAAACTTAGGAAGGAGAATCATGAGTTCTAAACCATCCTCAGCCACAGACCAACATTCTGTTCAAAAGACCAAGAAAATGGAGAGAAAGGTAATTCTTGTTTTAAAGTCCTCTATCTCAGGTGGCAGTAAAGGAAAAGCGATACTTTGTGGGAAAGGAAGAGAGGAAAGGTAGACTGCTTTACCTTCTGAGTCCTTCTCATAGAAAACTCCATGAGGGTGAATAGTATAAGGCCGACTTGCAAAGTTCTTCAGGTGGATTCGCATGACATCCCCCACCTCAGCCTGTAACAGTGGTCCTAGGAAGCCCAACCAGGCAGGCTTGGCTACTTCAATAGTGTATGTGCCGTCACTGTATTCCTTGTAGACAGTCTTCTTGTAACTACTCCCTATCCTGTCTTTGCCAGACTTTAGGAAGCTGGAAGCCACTCTGAGAAAATGCAAGACAGAATTACAACTTTTCTACCATCTTCAAGCAACTGGAAGCTTCTTTCCTAGAGAACGCTGACAAAAGAAAAGAGGAATTGGATTGCACTTGTGAAAAAGCCATGTGAAGTAGAAAGTTGAGTCATATGAAAATGCTGGAATCTGATCAAATTTCAACACACAAAGAGTCACTTTTACATGGTGCAAACAAGAGTACATTGACAAGTAGACAAATGACTCTAGAATGACTTTTTTTAAAATGACAACTCCTCATTCATGCAACCCTTAGCATTGTGCAGCTAGAGAGAGGGCAGAATATCATAGTGGTTATGACCATAGGCTTTGGGTATTTTGTATTAAATATCAGCTGCTCCATTTCCATAGTATTTGAACATTCAACAGGCTACCTTAGCTTCTATGTACATTATTTCACCATCTTCCAAATGAAGATTATTGAAGGATCTGACTTTCAAAGTTGTTATGGTGACAGAAAATTATATTTATATGTCTGGGGTCTTAAAATGTGTGGTTAGCATGTACAACACCTTGGATTTGAATCTCGGAAGTGGAGGGGAAAAAGTAATTGAAAACTTCAGGAATTTTTAGAGAAGTACCTGGGAAATTGCAGAAGCTATTACTTCAAATTATTAAGATGAGTGGCTAATGGTTGCTCTTTTAAGAAGAATTTCAATACAAGAGTTATGACGCCAAAGTTGAATGAATGGCTTGAGTCAAACAACAGCTTATGCTAGTCATAGATCTCAGTTGTAAAACACTTGCCTACAATATATGAGGTCTTAGGATTGATGCCTGCACTACAAACCAGAAAGAGAGAAGCTGAGTTGTGAGTACTGCAAGATGAAAACTGCTGAGCTTCGGAGAGATAAGAGGAACCACCATTGTAAAAGATGTTTCCATACGTTCATTCGCTGTCTTTAACTTTTGCTGAAGCATCAACCAATATGTCAGATCAACCTTCCCATTGTTTGGGAGCTTGAGGCTGGACGAATGTCGTGAGTTCAAACATGGCAAGAGTTATGTAGTGAGCTCCAGAACAGCCTTTGGCATAGTAAAAGTAAGATCTTGTCTCAGAAAAAAAATGAGAAAGAGAGAGGAGGGAAGGGAGATGAGAGAAAGAGAGAGGATAGAGGATGCAGGGAGTGAAAAATAGAAAAGAAAAGAAAAGAGAAAAAAAAGTTTAATCCTGTGAGGGGTACAGTGGTAAAAACAGAATCTACTTTATAGAGATTAGAATCCTAGTACCTCCATCTACTGGCTATAGGATTTGGATTGATCACTTGACTTCCATGAGCCTGTTTTCTCATCTATAAAATCAAGATTGCCGATAGTTACATGTTGCTCTGTGGTAGAGTTCAAGATCATGGGTTCTATCCTCATACCACAATATTGACAATATTCATACTTCCTAGGGGTTTTTCAGAATTGAATGATGTATTTGTAGGTGTCTAGTATGGCATCTCCCCTAAAGCTCTTGTCTATGAACTATGTGTTACTATTGTCTCCTTGCTTATAAGATGTTTTCACACATCTAGAATTCGGGTAGCTCCACCAGACTACAAGAGCATGGTTCCACTTCACGTGTCTCAGAAATACTGCATACATTTCATTTTAAAACGATAAACCAAACAACTGTTAATAGATGAGCATTATGAATCCCATTTTAAACGAAAAGGAATATGGACTTATCTTCAGAAATCTAAAAATGCTGTAGTGTTTCATTGCTGAAAAGCAAACTTGGGATGGGATGTTGGGTCCCAAACCAACTTTCTTTCCATGAAAGCTGTTGTTGCATGTATGGTCCAAAGAGATTGGAAGCTGGCTGTTATCATACCCTGAGAAAGTACCCTCAAAAGACTACCTATTGGCCTCAAGAATATCCTCTTTTATCTCTACTTCTAATAATACATAAGATAAAACCTACATGTCATCGTTCAGAGGCTGGTTTGTGATGACATTTCTTCCTTTGGGAGCATAGTCCCACGTCACATTTTCAATGGCCAGGTAGTAATCTCGAATGGCCCCATCAGTTGGTAGAAGCCACAAGGAGTTCATGAACAGTAAAATCCAGAGAAAATGGCCTGGAGTCATGGCCCACACTACTCGGAGAAACCAGGAATGGAATCTGCTGGTATGAAAAAAAAAAGATAAAAGAGGACAAAGGAATTTTGCATGTATCTGGGAAACTGTAGAGGCAAGGAACATATGAAATGGCTGAAAAAAACATAACTCAATTAACCCAGGTGGTTTTTTTTTAACCTCACTAGACTCTTTTCAGTCCAACAAATATTCAGTGGCCTCGATACATAGGTTGTTAGAGAACAAAGTTAAAAATTCACCTGTATTACTAATCATGCATTGTTTCCTTCAGAAGAGAAACCTGAATTCTGTTCTTTCAGCAGTATGGACACGAGAATGTACTCTGACCCTTGAATCAGGAAACAGTCATCGGAATCATGATTAGACTATACTGACTGACTTGGTACCTTAATCAAGTCAGTAATTCTTCCTTTGCCTGTTTTCCCTTAAGCAAAAAGTGACTCATAGTTGCTACTTCCCATAATCAATAAATTATATTTAGAAACACATGAGAAACCATCAAAAGACATTTGCTGGAATATTCATAGACCCAAAATGAGAACTGCCAAAATGCCAATCAATATTAAAATGGCTGAGTAAATTGCATTTTACTTACACAATGGAACTCAGAATGGCAGTCATAATGAACAAGCTATAACTATGCACGGAACGATGGGCAGAGGTGGTAAATGCAACTCTAAAGAAAGAAACAAATCAAAAGAAGCATACATGCTACATGATTTTACCAGGTAAAGGGCAAATTACAGCAAACAAATCCTTGCTACAAGACGTAAGGATGGAGGTGAAAAAAGAGCTCAGATGTTTACTACTTGCACACTGTCCAATGGTCGCTGAGTTCCATCTCTAACACTATAAAAAGAAATGAAGATAATGTTCACCCTTGAAGCAAACATCAGTGACTTTGAAGGGAAGAGTCATGTTCTGTTTCTTTATATTCAATTTATATAAATGTGTTCGGTTTCTGACAATATTCTGAGCAATACAGAATTTATAGACATTTTCATATGTTTCATTTTGGGTGTTAAAAAGGGTAAAAAAGATAGAACAAAACTAAATGAAAACATCAGAGGGAAGTAGTTAGAACATCTTAGAGTCTCAGCTGGTTTCCAATGCTGTATATAAATTCATTTCACAGGTTCCATCCTGAGTCACTGCCATACCCGGACTTCCAGCTTCTTATTTCAATGTTTTAAGCAAGAAGGTTAGAAGTCTTTTGAACCAGGGAGGGAGGCTCTAAGTCATACCAAATATAGATCAAAACCAGAAACATAAGCACACATTAACATTTGCACGCATGGCTTTACTTAAAATCACAGATGCACGTATTTACATCCACATACAGTCATACTGTCAACATAGAGACAGCATCACCATCAGAACAACAACAACAATAATAAGCAAGTGTCTATTGTGTCAGTTGTGTGCTCATTCTAAACATTTAACATAAATGAACTACTTTATGTCTGACAACCACCCTATGAAGTGGATGTCATTATTCCCCATGGTATAGTGGAGAAATTGGAGAACAGAGATGTAGTATGTCCAAGGCCACCTTAGTTAGCAAATGTTAGAGTTGGGATTTCATTCCAGGAAATATGACTCCACCACCTAGGACGCAGGCACAAAAGAAATTTGCACACTCACTTGCATGCACACTGAAAGTGTGCATATCCTCACAGCCACAGCTATGTCTGGAAAAACTGCACGCAATCTACAATATGCAATTTCATGTGGTTATGTTTACTTTAGAAAAAGAGAGATAATCATAATAATGATAATAACTATGTTTCACCAAGATATGACTAAACACAAAACACCATGTTGAGTGCCTTAAACAAAATGTTTCATTAAATATTCGACTCAAGCAAAAGTAATAGAGATTATTACCCCAAACTAGAAACCCAGTCTCTACTGGGTGTGGTAGTGCATGACTAATTTCAGCACTCAGGAGATTGAGGCAGGAGGATTACATGTTCGAGCCCAGCCTGCGCTACATACAGAGAAGAAACTCTGTAAACTTAATGAACTGTTTAACTAATTAACTCAAGTCTTAGTACCACAAAAAAAATTTTAAAAGATGGCTAGATTCACACATGGATAGAAAGGAATCAGATATTTATCCTAAGTAGGCCCAGAACTTACTCTGATTAAAATCAAACTTAAAGATTTTTAAAAAATAAACTCTCAGGCTTTTCAGTACATAGCAACTGTGTAAGAATTAATCACCAATCTCCATATTATGTTTGGCAGAAAGCCCTAGATGGAAAGACAGGCCTGTTTGGGACATACTTCTGGCAGAAACCTGGCTGCCCCACTGATTGATGATAATATAACCTGATCATTATTTAACAGCTATGATCTTGCTTCCTCGTGGGTAAAGTGAATTTATTATCAGCCTTGGAAGAATAAATCAGAAATTTTACCTAAAAGAGCCTTAGTAATATCAGTGTTTCGAAGACAGGAGATAGTTCCTACTATAAGCTTTTCCTTCCGTCTCCTGGCTAGCTTGCTAATATATCCTTGCAATATATCCTTCCTAAGACATTGCCTTTATTTACCACATTGGACTATAAATTCCTTGAGAGTGGATGGAAAGTAATACAGGTGTCTGTGTATCTACTGTCAGGTGAGCTACAGAAGGCCCACTGGTCAGGCAACTACTAAAGTGAAAGATGAGGAATAGGCATGGGTGTTCCCACCTGTTTGCTCCAGTCTAGTTTCTAGCACTAGCTTGAACAGTGACTTCAGGCAAGTTCCTTTATCTTAATGAGCCCCAGTTTCTCATCTATAAAACAGGGAAAGACACAGAGCTAAACTATACAGTACTTACATTGTAGAAGTTACGGAAATGTTATAATCTAATGGAACACACATATGCATAACTATGACAATTGTGGCATTTAAAAACTTGTCAAAGACTCGTTTCTCTCACATGATGCCAATACTCACATTTCCTGATGAAACACAGGTACCGTCACATGTACCTACATACAATACTACGCATGGACATACAGTTAGCCATCCCTTAGGACCCTCACACTGGAAGAAGAAGCCTTTGTTCAATGGACGCCTGATTGTAACCTGGACATCGTTCACACTTCCTCCTCAAGGGTTACCATCAAGGCAGCTGTGCCTTCAGCTTATTTACCTAGAGAGAAAATAGTTCCAGGTAAGGGCTCCATGATTGCAGTCTCACTTGATAGTCTTGGAAATGTCTGGAGATGCTTAGTGCAGACCATTAGCACAGAATTAATAAGCAGTCAAGTTTAAAAATGGTGACTAAGATCCCACAGTCCAGATAATATAGAACCTAGCAGTACCGATGTGCTCTTTGTATCTGCAGCCTTATTTCTCCTAGTCCTGTAAGATATGGACTGCTTTCCATGTTTTCTATACAGCGCAGAGGCTTTGACGTCACACCTCTTAAACAAAGCCTGGGGTCACCATAGTCTTCATCTTTAATACTATTTGTTGCCTCAGAGTCATGAAGATTAAATACATAATAACAATCTATACCTGTATATAGTGCAAATAAGTGCTGCTAGTTATGAAAAAAATAGTGGCTATTATCATTAAAACCGAGGAAGTAGATTTGAACATATAACCAACCACTATCACAAAGCTTTATCTGTTTTGATTTTGTTGTTGGTTTGTCTCCTTATTTTTCTTTCGGGTTCTGGGAATCAAACCCAAGTCATTTCACAAGCAAGGAACGTACTTCCAGCCTAAACCTTATAATTTTTTGGATAATGACAGATATATATATTGTTCACATCAGTAACACATTCAATGTACAGAAGCATTCTTACAATGGTATAAAATGCACGCATTCCAAGCTGACAGGCTCTTCTCGAAAGAAACTTGATTTAATGTGAACTAGACCTTGGGCCAGTTATGGTGACACACACCTATAATTCTAGTACTCGTGGAGGTGATGGGTGAGGCAGGAAGATCAAGAGTTCAAAAGCCAGTCTGAGCTGTATGGTAAATTCTAAGTTAACCTGCTGTCTCTAGCTCTGTTTCTCGGTCTCTGTGTCTGTCTGTCTGTCTGTCTCTCTCTCTCTCTCTGTGTGTGTGTGTGTGTGTGTGTGTGTGTGTGTGTGTGTGTGTGTATAGAAGCAGAATTTAGCATCAGATAAATTTAGTTGTGAGTACTATGTGTTTTGTGTTTAAATAAGATAAGTGGATATAGAATCTGGAACTTATCAAGCATCTTGTAAGGACTAGTTTCTCTTCCTTTAAATTACTGACTTCCCATCTTACTGCCTTGAGACTGAGCTTGGCATCCTCTTCGTCATTTATGTTGTTTACGTTGGTTTTTATCATACACTTTAAGGGCAGAGGAAAGGAAGAACCCATAAACTTACTTGGACATTCCATGATAAATGTGGAAAGTATCCAAGCACCAATAAAAAGAGAGAGAGGGAGAGAGACAGAAAGAGAGAATCACTTCCCTATTCACTGTTTATTCATTATGTGACACTGGAAAGCTATGCAGCGTCCTGAGCCTAAGATCCTCGTTTCTTAAATAGTGAAAATCTGTACCTTGGGCCTCTCAGTGGTTTCCTATGAAGACCAAATGAGATGAAAGACATGAAATCTCCATGGAAACTTTTCATCAGGTCTGTGACATGGTTCTTGCTAATGGGCCTGCGGAGAACAGCCAAACCTGTGTAGGAAAAGGAAAACAAGAAATGAAATGAATAAGGTGAGCATGAGTGCTGGGTAAAAGCAAAGAGGAAGTCTCTTTAAGAAGAAAGTAAGAGCCACTCAGAGGGAAAAAAGCTAAGGGCACTTTCTGGGCAACTTGGAATTCAGTATAATTTAATTGTACACTGACCTCTCGCTTCAACCAGAGTAGAAAGTGAAGCCTCTCCTTCCTTTCAGTTACCATGGTCTCCTGGCCTAGCCCTTAGCAACCATGGCAATTTGCATCAAGGTTTTCCCTAGAATTTGCAAGTTGCTTTTTTACTGTGATAATGCTTTCTTCTCTCCCTGTAGTCTTGTCTCAGTTAACTAGACTGGGTTTAAAAGGTTCAGCCTAAATTTTAAGAAGTCACTAAACTGAATAGGAATTTGAAGCTATCTTCAGTGAGCCCTGCCTCCAGTCTCTCTGAGCAGCCTTCCTAAGATCTGCCTGTCAAGATTCTCCTTTTGGCTCCCTGATTTCTTAACGTTTTATCACTCTGTTGATAGAAAAAAAAATAGTGGCATTAATGACCCTCAATCAAATTCCATCTCTTGCCTATATGAGTTATAATTCAGCAAATTATTTTCACTTCTGTGAACCTCTGCTTTCTCATCCTCAACATGGGGATTCTGATTATTTCAATTGTTTCACAGGACTGGTTTGGTTTGAGACTCAAACAAATGATAAATATCCGAGGCAGTATACAGATATTTTGTTTGTATAGTATATGCAAATAATAAAGCAGATACTCAGTACTGAGAAACTGAATAAACTATACTTACTTATCTACCAAGCCTTTAGAAACCGTTTTTATGTGTGTGTGGCTCGGAGATATTTAGAAAACTGAGAGCACAGTGGTAAAATGGTTGGTTCAAAATCATGCAGTCAGTTACCAGGAAGGTCAGAATTCAAATTCATGCCTAATAAATTGTTTCATTGAGCATTAAGTACTTTTTAAATGATTCTTAAAATAATTCACTTTTTTAGTGTGACTCAATTACTCAAATCACACTCATATCTGCACCTATCTTGTCTGAAATATATGAAAGTTAGCATAGTTGTTTTTAAGGGTTGTAACCTTAAATTCATGGAATTTGCAGTCCATTTTCTCAATAAAACTTCCCAACCTGAGAGACAGAAGATGAAGAGGCTGTTTAGACAGCAAAATGAATTATTCTCAATGACTTCAAGATTGTCCCAGAAACAGTGGAATCAGTGAGATTCTGGCCATTTTGGCTAGAGGAACAAAAGGAATGCAGTCTATTGTCTCCTGTTACTTCCCTGTGCACCTAACTAAACTTCCTCCAACTCTAGGTCCACCTACTTTCTTTCCCAGTGACCCTGGACTCTTCTAAAGCCAACTGAATAAGCATTTTGCAAAGGAAGGCAAGTGAGGTTGTTTCAAAAGAGAAAGAATCTTACCTTTGTTAGGGAAAACCCTTCCTTCCTTTCTTCCCTCCTTCCTTCCAAATTCATGTCAGTGGCCCATCAGTGCAGAACTGCAGACCCCAGCCTGAGTCTGCCAGCCCTGTTTACTGAGTAAACACGGCTACAAAGCTCTTCCCATGAGTTAAATCTAGGACTGCTGTCTGGCGAGGATTACTGACTGGGGTGAGTGAAAGGGGGAGGGGACAGTGCTGGGTGCCCTCTTTTCCACAAACTAAACTACTGGAATGTCCTGTTCCCGCCGGTTTGGTACAAAACCCGGGGTGGTTCTTTGACAACATCCGGGTGTTTTCCAAATCCTGGTGAGGATCTCCGGAGGAATTACAAGGAGGTGTAGCTTGCTAGAAGGCTTTGCTGAACTGGGTTCAAAACGCATCTTCAGTGTGGCCAGCCAAAGCCTGCAGGCAGATTCCAACTGCCTGGGTTAAGAAACAGGAGGACAGGGGTAGAAATGCTGATAACGATAGTAACAATAGTAATGCCACAAGGCTCTCTTAAAAATTAAACTGTCGTCTGGATTTTTTTTTTTTTTTTGAGCCAAACACCATTTGTGCTCCTTCTGCAAAGAAAAGGCAGTGAAAAGTCACAGGACTCAACAGAATCTATGTCCTGGCTTTTCTGGCTTGGAAGCAAGAACTAGTTGAGAGAATTTGACCTAGGCCCTTACTTCACTGGGCCTCTTTCCAGTGATTAGGGCCTTAAAGTAGACACGAACCCATTCATCTCTGTAAAATTACAAATCTAAGAATCTATGACGGTGTATTCTCAGTGTTAAGAGCAGTTGAGAAAGAGCCGTAAGGAAAGACTGAATGAAGAGAAGGTCATGAAGACAGAACTGAATACCTTGTCATGTTAGAAGGGGCCATTTCTACCCACCAGACTCCCCAGCCCCAGGATGGTTGTTGGTAAGATGGCAGTCGATTATCTGGTGTCCTTACTTTGTGACGAGGAGATCTCCACGGAGAGCAAACTGTCTTCTTCACGCCGGCTGTATTTGCTCCCTTGCCCCGAACCTGGAACACCTGGAGCAGGGGCCACGAAAGAGAACTTTCATAAGACCGAAAGTCCACTGAGCTGGTAGGGCAAAGTCTGAGTCATAAACAACTAGAGGTTTTAAGTATTCTCAGCCACTGAGGAGCTGCCCTGCAAATTGCAGCGTCAAGGGAAGTGGAAGTACAAGCAAAGAGAAGGGAGGAGCTGCCAGACTCAGCTACCTCAGAGACTCACAGCAGTCAACAGCAGCTGGATTGGTTCAAAGCAGCACCTAGGATTACCTGCCTGACATACATGTGGACCTTGAAGCTAGAGGGGGAAGGTGGGGACCAAACCCATTAACCTGGGATCCAAGTCCAGGCTCTAAGGCATTTATGACAGGGAAGGGAGGGGAAGGAATAAGGTCTGCACTCTGACTCATGAAACACAACAAGAAGCAGGTCATTATAGATGCCCTTCAGTCAACACAGTAAAGACTACGGAAGGCAAGCAAGGCAAGATTTCCGGGCTTGTATTATTTTTTCACAGATTTCACTGAGAGTGTAAGAGGCTAACATGTCTTACAAAAATCTTGCATGTTTCTGGTGCTTTCTCCTGGGAGTCATTTAAAGCATATTTTTAAGTGGTTGCCTATAGACCACAGGTTGGCAAGCTTTAATGTAAAGTGTCACTCGGTATATATTTTATTTTTCAAGAGTAGATAGTTTCTTTGTGGTACAACTTTTAAAACTATAGTTATAACTCATACTTCTATCCATATTTGAACAGTAAATAAAAAAGCAACAGACAAGATTTGGGCTATGAGCTATGGAGCTTTATTCTTTTCTTTTCCTTTCTTTCTTTTTTTACATATATGAACATTAGCATGGAATTTGTGTCTAGTGTCCTTGATTGAGATTGCAATTTTGCCATTTCCA